TGCCCTCTTCCCACATCATTCCCATCCTTGTTTTCCTTAAAAACCGGGAACTTCCATGTCCTCCTCACTTGAGGATTTCCTCACCTCAACGAGGACTTGGCCTCTCCACCCACCCACAGGCCCACTGCCCAGGATTCCCTCCATGCCTCCTTCACCTCTGCCCCATCCACAGCGGGTTAATTAATTAATTAAGAGCTCCTCTGCCTTTCCCCCCACCCCGCCTTTTCCCAAAGACCCCGTCTTGGAGCGCCGCTGTGACCACTCTATTTGGGGACAGGCTGCCAAGAGCGTGGACGTCTTCATCGTGCTCTCGGCTCGTCCCGGCGCCCACCGCCGGAGCCGGGGCAGGCCGGGCCCGTCCCGCGGCCAGGCCGGGCCCATAGAGGCCTCATTGTCCCCTCGTCTCCATGGTTTTCCTGGAGGCCCCGGCGCTGTTTAACAACGCATCCTGCCCCGCCAAGAAGGGGATTTAGCTCCTCCGAGACCTCCAGATACAAAACAAAAATGTGCAACAAGATTCTTTTTGACTATGTAGGTCAGGGCAAGGAAAACAAGCTGTTGGGAACAATCCTCCGGGCTGGCGGGGGGGACGGATTAGCCAGGACCTAAGAGGGCTTTTCCAGCCCGGGTCCCGCTCGGCTTTGTCCGGCGGGGCCTTTGTGTTGAACTACAAACCCGAGCTGAACATCATTGGCAGGAGGTTTTTTGTTTTGTTTTTTTTTTTTTCCCAAGGGGGCACCTTCGAGAGAGACAACCTTAAATATGATTTCACAGGAGCTTTTCAGGCCGAGCGCCGAGGGCCAAAACGCTTCCGCGGGGGTTTGGCGGCTGCTGGGAGGAGTTGCATGGTTGTACAGGCTCAAAGGGAACCCCCACAACGCACCAAAGGCCTCTTGCTGGTGGCCCCCGGGAGGCTGAACGTGCCTCGGGCAAAGCCCAAACAAAGCCTGAGCCGAGTTCTTGCCACGGAAAAGTGCGCGGCTGGAGAGTCCAAGGGACAGGTAGCCATTGGTGGGGAGGGGGGGATAAAGAGACAGGAGGGAAGGGGTGAAGGAAGGGAGGAAATGAAAAGGTGAGGATGAGGAAGGGGTTTGGAGAAGATGGAATTAAAATGTTGGGAGTTGTTCTGGCAGAGGTTTGGGAGCGGTGCAGGAGCTCAGAGGGACACGGAGCTGCTCCAGGGCTGGAGCTCTGGGAGAGCTGGGAATGTTCCCCTGGAGAAGGGAAGGATCCAGGGAGAGCTCAGAGCCCCTTGCAGGGCCTGAAGGGGCTCCAGGAGAGCTGGAGAGGGACTGGGGACAAGGCATGGAGGGACAGGACACAGGGAATGGCTGAGAAATTCCAGTGACTCGGAACCACCAACAGCAGCTCTACACGAGCCCAGGTGGCCAAGAGGGCCAAGGGCACCTGGGCTGGGCCAGCACTGGGGTGGCAGCAGGACCAGGGCAGTGCCTGGAACTGGTGAGGCCACAACCTCAAATCCTGGGGCAGTTTTGGGCCTCTCCCAACAAGAGAGAGACCCTGAGAGGCTGGAGCGTGTCCAAGGAAGGGAACGGAGCTGGGAAGGGGTTGGAGAATTCCTGGGGGAGCTGGGAAGGGGCTGGAGAATTCCTGAGGGAGCTGGGAAAGGACTGGAGAATTCCTGAGGGAGCTGGGAAGGGGCTCAGCCTGGAGAAAAGGAGGCTCAGGGGGGACCTTGTGGCTCTGCACAACTCCCTGACAGGAGGGGACAGCCGGGGGTATTTGGGATCTGGGAACAGGGACAGGAGGAGAGGGAACGGCCTCAGGAGAGATTCAGGGTGGAAATTAAGGAATTCCTTCCTGGAAAGGGCTGTCCAACCTGATGGAGTCCCTACCCCTGGAAGAATTCGAAGGATGTGGCACTTGGGGACGTGGCTCAGTGGTGGCCTTGGCAGCGCTGAAGAAAAGCTGGACTCCATCTCTGGAGCGCTTTTCCAACCTCACTGATGCCAGGACTCCCAAGGCTCCCACCTCAGCCTGGACCTTCCCGGAGCTCTCACGGAGCCAGACCACCCCCAGGTGGCTCCCGACAGTGACAGATGGGCTGTGTATTTCCCAACTCTTTGCCCACATCCATCTTTTTTGGCTCGGCAGGTCCGAGTTCGGCTGGGGCCAGCACCTTTGGCCCCGGCTGCCGGTCGTGCTCCGGAGGGGAGAGGTCCTGCAGGAGGAAACCCGAAGGCTCAGGGAGAGCAGCCTCCAGACGATTTATCTGTCACATAAATGTGGTTTTATTGGTTTTACTGCTTCAACTTTTCACCTCTGCTGCTAAATCTGAACGGGCCGAGGGGAGAGGAAAAAAAGGAAAAAAGGGAAAAGAGCCGGCGGCGCGGGGCTGCCGGGGGAGTTTCCAAATCAAATATGCAAATACCATTAATTCTTTAAACTGGAGTCTCCCTTTCAAGGCCATAAATCAAAGTTGACAGCACATCCACTGAGGAGGGGGAGAAGGAAAAGGAGAGGAGGGAAAGGGAAAAAAAGAGGAGGGAAAGTGAAAGGAGAGGAGGGAAAGGGAAAGGAGAGGAGGGAAAGGAAAAGGAGAGAAAGGAAAGGGAAAGGAGAGGAGGGAAAGGAAAAGGAGAGGAGAGAAAGGGAAAAAAAAAGATGAGGGAAAAATTAAGAGGAGCTTTCACCACGGTGATGTGGGAGTGGGATAAGATCAGGAAGTTGCAGATTGCTCGGGGCTGGGGACCTGCAGATTCCTGGAACACCTTGAGCAGGAGCAGGGAGAGGTGCAGGTACAGCTTTATAAAAATGGAGAAGTGGAGGATGGTTTGAATAAAATGCCATAAAAAAGGTACCGAAAAGTACTAAAATTGGTTTTATACACATACGTGAGCTTGTATTCAAATTGAAGCGTAGAATTAAACTGGGAGCCAGTTCCCAGCCCTGGCCCAGGCTCCCCTAGGAAGAGCTTTTCCCCCCCTCCCCCCCTCCATGATTCATGGAATCAGAGAATCATTTAAACTGGAAAAGACCTTTCACATCATCAAATCCAACCACCAGCTCTACCTCAAAACCACTTCCTTTTCACCCCCCCTTGCAACGTCACCACCTCAAACTCTTCCAAAACGTCCTTTTGATCCGAGCAGACAGATTTTTTTTAAGCCCCTTCACCTCAAGCACAGGGCGAGGATGGCTGGAAGGTCCCTGCAGGAGGAAACCAGGCCACGGTTGGACTCCACATCCCCCTCCAGATGGAAGGGGAGCGGGGACAGTTTGTTCTGTCTGACGACAGCGCGGAATCTGGATCGAATCCTCCCGGCCAAGCCAGGAGCTGCTGGAATGTGAATCCAAACCGATTCCAAACACGGTTTGCAAACCCTGCCAGAGCTCCTGGAAGCTGATCAAAGCCACCACTGGTGTTTGCACGCTCGCACCCCCCCGTGTCATAGTCGTGGAATCGTGGAACGGTTTGGGATGGAAGGGATCCCAAAGCCCAGCCAGATCCAACCCCACGGGCAGGGACACATCCCACTGTCCCAGGCTGCTCCAAGCCCCAGTGTCCAACCTGCCTTTGG